ATTCATCATATAGACTACATAAAGATATTAATGCAACTTGTCACTTATTAAACCATCTTCTTCATTATCCTCGATATCATGCTTATTACCTTTCAAAACTCTGTCAAAAACCTCAATGTCACCTTCGACAAACACTTCTGGAATAATCATTTTTCTAAAGCATACCAACAATCCACAATTATCCTTAATCAATTCTATAGATTCTTCGAATTCCTGGCTTAAAAAATACTTCTACTAATTTCTCTCTTATCCCATTACTTTGACTGATTAATGGAGGACTCACTAATGAACTTGAAGGGATATAAATGCGTCTCATGTAGTTTTACTTTCATTTATCTATTTATGAACTATATAATTAGGGAAGATATTGCGATCGTGACGATTTTCGAATCTGAGTTTTTATTCGTTTCATTCGGAATCACATGTTTCGAGGTCCCCTGAGTTCAAATAACCAAGTCGTTCCAAATAGCCTGGGTGTGTGTGTTAGTCTGTGTCTGTGTGAACATTCTAACTCAAAAACAAAGTACTGTAAAACTGAAATTTCTTATTTAATGTAGGTATATGCCTTTATAAAACAACTTTTTCATCAAAATCTGCTTGCCAGAACTGCGTCTTTATATAATAGACTTTACATATTTTTATAATAAGATTTTGGGTACCAAGACGCACTCATATCTCTGAATATTACAACGAGTTAAAGTGGATTAACCTCGTTCTCCGAAGGCATTATTGGAAATGGTTCATAACTTCATTGCTCTCAAAAACACAATACCTTTCTGAATTTCTCTTTAATAAACCGCTCTTTACCCAGTTTTCCTTTATCCAAACATCGAAGATGTGAACCCAGCCAATCGATATTTTATTCTGATCGATTTTATTCGATATTTTATTATCGATATTTATAAAACCCCTTTAGAATAACAGAATAGTAAAAAATTAAAATATTACAGCTGGTCAAATAAAAAGAAAAGGTAAAGAAAACATCAGTTAAACATGCCACATACAAAACAAATAAATCTAGTTACAAAACCACTTTAAATTATGTACAGTGGTAAAACATATGCATACAGCAAAAAAAAAAAAAGAGGAAGCCGAATGTAATAGTAAAAGCAAAAATTGTCTGAGTATTTAAATGATGGTAATTTTGTAAATCATTTTGAATAATATGTAATTGCATCATAAAAGGTTAGCGGGTATATGACTGTTTGGAGACAGGAATTGGAATAGGAGGATTTTAAATGTAGATATGGAGAGGATGCCGGATTTTGATAGGAAGAAATTCCAGAAATTAACAGAGCGAGTAATTTTGAATGAGGAGTTTTGGAACGAGGCAGATCTATGAGAAGAGATGTAAAGGTCAAAAGGTCGAGATCTTGTTGAAAGGGAATGGATTGAGGACTTGAATTGAAGAAGGTTGTAGGCAGAAGAAGTCTGATGATTGTTGATGATTTGATAGAAGAACGTACCTAGGAAATATTGTCTTTGGAACGAGGAGAAGAGCAACTTTAACTCAGTGGAGTGGTGAGATACATGGCAGCATCTCTATTCTCCATTACATGAAACTGCTTCTTTTAACAAATCATTTCTTGTTTGTTTCTTCGTATTTGTGAATACCTTATTTACATCCGCTTAGAACCTTCCTATCTTTCTTCGAACACAACTGTTTCTATATCTCAATTCTCTGACCAAATGTAAATATAAACTGATCAGTGGCATATCTAAAAGGGGGAACGGTCTGCCTCAGGACCCATTTACCAAAATGAATTCACATCAGGAATTTTTTTTTTTTTTTTAGTTAAAGAATAACGTTATTGGATTTATTTTTTTCACGTCAATAACAAAAAAATTGATGCTTCTTTATTTTTAATAGAATAAATTCCATTTATTAAACTATTAGTAGATTTATTTATTTAATCATATCAAAGCCATTAAACTAAAAAATAGTTATTTTTTTATACTTGATTTAAAATGCGTGATATTATAATTGTATTCAAGCTGACAAATCATTCAACTGGTTATTCGAAACAACACCATGATACAAGTAGATAAAAATGAAGCAACAAGTACTTACTTCGTGAGTCAGTGCAGGGAGGGCATGTTGCAGATTAAATCGCCAGTCATCTTTATTCTTCGAGCTTACTTTCCTGTTTCTGAGGCTAAGGATGTTTTTGGAGTGCTCGTTAACACAACCTACCCATTATTGAGATTAAAATCATTCATTTCTTCTATTTGTATAAATCTTTTCTTCTAGCAAGTTTCGAGGAACCTCCTCTGGATTTACTTTGCTAAATTTTTATATCCCCATTGCCATAATGATGCATAATTTCTCTCTTCTTTCCTCCAAATGTAATCAGTCCATGTTAATCCGAGGTTTTTATTATAATTCGTTTTTCTAATCGCATTTGCATCTGTCCTTATCTATTGGCGGTGGTCCAGCCCATTTGTTTAATGAGGGTTTTGTAAAGACGTAATTTCGTAGCCTGAGAAATTGCTTTTTGTTAATCTAGATACTTCAGCAAACCAAATTAATACCTATTAGTTATCATCAACCGTCTATTAATTTCATGCTGTATGAAGTTTGCATTTACCTCAGAGTCAATGCATATAAATTCAGTCTTTCTCTGAAAAGGAAAATACTCAATTTTAATCTCGGTGCTGATCTCTGTATATTTTATACTATTAATAGTCAGTTTTCTTAGGTCTGTAAGTCCTCAGTTTTCTTAATTCACTGTGAGCCAAACCCTTTTTGCAGCATTATTATTTTTTTTTTAAATGAAATTTACAACTGTATTTCATTAAAAATACAACGAGTAAATATGACATTGGTAACATGACATGTACAACATGAAGAGAAACTATCCATTGGTAGAACTCAAATTAAAGTTCTATATTAGAAGGTCCCGAGGCCGTCTTCTTTTCAGACACCTCGGAGGGTTATCAGGGATCGAGGAGGAAGCAAGGTTTGAAACGAGAGGGTTCGAATGGTTTTGCAGTTTGTTATAGAAGGATAGGTATCTGGATTGGGCCAAATCGGAAACATATGGAACATTAAGGTCTTTATGGATGATTTTGTTTGTGACAAAGTAAGGAGAGTTGATGATTTTACGAAGGATTTTGGATTGTAAGGATTGGATACGAGAGGAATTCGATGGTTTAGTGGAGCCCCACAGCTCAACTCCATAAGTCCAAAGAGGTCTTATTATTGTCATATATATGAGTCGTTTGTAATTGATTGAAAGCTTAGAGCGTTTGTCTAGTAAGTGTTGGAGTAGTCGGAAACGTCGAGCGGTTTCTTGTCGTTTCAGTCTTGTATGAGGATTCAATGTAAGTCGTTTGTCGAGGTGGAGTTCTAGGTAACGGATTTGTTCAACTGGGATAAGTGGGGAATTGTTAAAGAATACTGTAGGACAGGAGGTCATAGGTTTGCGACGCAGGGTAAAGATAATTTGATGGGATTTATTGGATTTTATTTTAATCCTCCAGTTTTGACACGATTCTTCAAGACATGTGATGTGTGATTGGAGAGTTTGGGATGCAATTGATGGATCGTTGTTAACGTGTCATCGGCATAGGAGCCGCATTATTATTTTTTTTTTTTTAAACTTTCTTTGTTGAATATTAATACATTCTGCCACATTGAAGGGCATTAATATTAAGGCTACATGATTGAATGAATCACAATATGTACATACAGCATTATTAAGGACAAGGAACGCCTCTTTCATAACAGAAAACGTATTTTCACGACACTGAAATCATCAGCAAACACGAGAGTCTGCGTTATCTGGTGAAACATAGATCCATTCCACCAACCTGAATCTCTAATCTTCTGATTTCAAACTCCAAAGCAAGATTAAATTGAACACATAGCAAGCAAATGCCTTGCGTCGAACATTTGGCGGTTTGGAATCACTGTTTTCATTGATAGCTAAATCGGTTGAATAAGTTGGGGAGGACTGCTATTTCTAATAGATTCTTGTATAGTCCTTTTGTAGTTGCACTATTATAGGCTTTCATGAAGTCGATATGAAACAATACTTCTATAATTTCTGATAAATCTTTTTAATTTTTTTATTATTTTAGTTATAAGTCTTCAAAAGTAAATACATCCTAGGGTTTACCAGGTAAGTGAACCACCCCACATCAGGGTATTTGGTTTATTATTTTCAATAATCAACCATTATGACCGACCAAAAAATTCAAAAACTTAACCCCCTCTCAAAATTTGAGGTTTGAAAACGAATAAAAATTTTGTTGTCCGTCCGCCGTCCGCGCATTTTCTCCGAAACTAATGGACCGGTTTTTTTCTAATTTGGGTATAAAATCAGAGGTTACCCGAGGATGATCCTCCTTCATCGACATTATTATCCGCCTTTTACTTTCAAAATGGCGGCCGAAAAATCTGCGTTGCTATAGGCTGTAGCGCCTAAACGAATGTAGCGATTTCAATGAAACTTAAGTCATTTCCTCTACGCCCTTTAACTTTATCTATACAACATACAAAAAAAGTTACGAAGGATGGTAAAATTTAATTCCGAATAACTCAAAAAGTATACACTTCTTTGGGGACGTTGTATTGTGTTTTTTTCAAAGTTTACGAAGTTTCCTAAAACATTGTTAAAATCGAACAATTAGGAGCAAATATATGGTCTCCGGTTTTTTTATTTTTTTTTTTATACGTTCTACTCCAAACGTTGTTTCTTTGCTTGGTTTTTAAATTGTGAATGTATTACTGAAGTATTGATATTTTTTTTAGCATATTACTAATGATTGAAAAAAAAAGTTTAGTCTAATAATTGAAATCACTTTTTATTTATTTTTCTTTGTAACTCGGAAGGTAATGTTACTTTAGATGTAATAATTGTTTGGAAATAATAAACCATTGTGAAATAATTTGCAGCGTTTTTCAAATTTCTCGTCAATAACTGACTAATATGAATTAATGTAACTCGACAATATTTATTTATTACAAGAGTTATGGTTGCAGGTGATGCTGTGTGATGAAACGGCTGGTGGTGGCCCTTTGCCTTGTGGCGGCGTGCTCTGCTTTCGACATCAGCGTGTTGGGCCTCTTCGAGCTCAATGGTACTTCGCAGAGTGCGGAACTTGCCGCAGCACAGCTCGCTGTGCAGCACGTCAATGGGGCCCGCGTACTCGGTCAGCACCGCCTCAAGCTTGTCGTCAACGATACTAAGGTAATTCTTTTGCTAAATAACAAATATGCACACAAAATCTCGTCAAAACTCCATGTGAGATATTATAGCAATTTCCATCTTATTTTAATCTCAATGTTGTGTGGTCGAATTTATTCGGTGGTTCCACGTCTCATCCATACGACTACTACTAATAGAGTATAAAGTAGGAATTTTATTTTGTAAAATGCACTGATTATAATAGCACGAATATATAGAGAGTGTGTTTTCACTTTATCTTACCTATTTATGTAATATGTGTAGTAAGCTCAAGTATTGCAATCGTGAAAAATTTTTAATCTGAATTTTCAAAGGAAATAAATGTTTTGAGATCCTCTGAGTCGAAATAACTAAGTCTCGTGCAAAATGTTCTATGTGTTTGTGTGTGAACATTCTAGGTCAAAAAATCTTACGGAATTGAAATAGTGTATTTGAGATTTTTATAATTCCTGGATGTTACTGTAAATTTTTCATCAAAATCGGCAAACCGGAAGTGGTACTTTATATAATCGATTATTTATGCTAAGAAGAGGGTGGTAACTAAAAGTAGTGTGAAGCGCCCACCAGATTTTTTTATTTACTAATAACACTCCCGATGGACTTTCCGCCTCAACTGTTGACTCGACATGGGGAAAGAACACTCAATCAAATGTTGCTTACTGCTATTATATCGCTGAGGGATGAAGAACCGTAGCTCACCACGATCTCCGTGGATCTTTTGTGAGATATGTTCAATCATCTTATCATATACTTATAATAGGAATCGATCTATTAACATTTTCAAGTTGGATTAGTGTCTTTTAGGATTCCATTTTCAAAGAATATCTTAGTGAAGGGATATAATATTTCTCCTTTAGTTCATTAAAGATTTGTAAATGCCTTTGACAGTTTCCTGGTTTTTATTTCCAGTTAGCAAGTGACCTCAGACCCAGCACTTGCTAAAGCTTCTTTTTTTAATCTTAATTTGCAACATTGTGTTCAGCCTTTCTTTCTTTCCGCCACCTTTCTTTTAACTTTCAGCCTCCATGTGACTAAGGAATAAGTTTATCATAAGTCGAATGACCATTGTGTATAACCATTTTGGATCTGATTTCCCATTATATGATTGATGATTAGGTCCCCCGAGACTGAAGCTAGCATGCCACAGCCTATTTATATCTGGAGGTCACCCTGTATCCAGAATCTAAGTAGTTCGACAGTCAATACTGTTTCCGAATCGGAAGATATTTATCGTATTTTCAGTCCCAATCCGCAGTATTTAATTGTTTACCGGCAGTCGTTTTTGGGCTCTAGTATTTGGCTAGACACCACATCCGGAAGGTCCTGGTAGCAGTGTTCTCAAGAGCATCCAGTTTTAATTTAGAGTTATATACATATAATACAAAATTTACTGCATATAGTGTCATATTAATGTGTTCCCATTTGACTCATTTTATGTTTTACTTACATTAGCGAACTTTCTAATATTATACAGACACATCAAGATTTCTCGTCTTTATCAAATTAAGAACTAATATTTCTTCATTTAATAAAATAAATATAATAACTCTTTCTAAATTTTTTTTTATCTTTCAAAATTTATATGTCAGGCATGGGGAACGATAGCACCCAGCAATACCTCTTGCCTGACTTCAATCAATTACCATGGTTTGTAATGGTTTAAGGAAGTAGTTTTCTCATCCATGGCCTTTTTAGTCTCCTCGTATTGATGGGTATGTCAGCAGAAGCCATATCTCTGATTAGTATGTTAGTATGTCCGTGTAAATTATTGTGAAATTGTTTGTAAAGAACTCTTATGTGTTGGTCAACTGTAGGCAGAAGGAGTCGTTATATAAGATTTTGTTTGTCACGTACGAAGGTGCTTTAGTTATAAGTCGTAATATTTTTGATTGGAAAGTTTGAAGTTTGTGTAAATGGGTCTTATTGGCTATACCGTATATTTGTGAGGAGTAAGTCCATATAGGTTTAAGTAATTATAGGTATTCTTCTTTTCGTGTTCTTCCTTACCTCGACTTTTAAACTATACAGGATTTTTCCGAGTCGGAGAGTGAGCTTTGAAATCTCCTCCGGCACCGAGACGCGAACTCATACCTTTTTTTTTTAATCTCATAACTTCTGTTATCTGGTTGCCCGGCTACTCGCGGTCTCACGTATTAGCTCTTTCCGCCACCCCGCCCCCGTAATTATAGCTATATAGTTAGTTTCTGTTTCAGTTCTAGGTTCGAAGATTTATAAAAAGTAGTTTGAGGCGTCTATTGGGGGTCTCCCGTTTCCATTTTGATATCCGAACAATTTAAAAATTTAATTCAAACGCTTGATAATTCCATGAAAGAATGAGTTTATTTGTAATTGAGGAACGTTGAATTTATCAAAGAAATCTTTTAATAATTTTGCAATGAAATAGATCACCATTTTTATTAACATTTTACCTTCAGATGTTGACCACAATTTTAATGATGGCTGCTTCATTATCTAAACTGCTTTCCATTAAAAAAAATCTAATATAAAGTTTTAACGAAGACGAAAAGAAGGATAACTTAACGTAAAGTAACTTCTTGTGAAGTTTACTACAAATTTTAATGAAATTATTAAGTCTCGATATTGATTGATTGTATAGCGGCTAAGTTTAACCATTTGCATTGCACTTGACTGAGTTATTTAGTTGCCCTGAGTACGCCCTTCGGGTATCAAATACAATTTATCAAATCACCTTTAAGGATAATAATTCCTCAAGCGGGCGATAAGTTTCATTGGTTTCCACACTCAAAGCTGAGAAAACTTTTTAACTCAAGTTGGCTCAGGGAAAGGTTATTATCGTGTGGCACGAGGTAGAGGAAAAAAATCAGTCGGCGCTAAGCCCTGCTTTGACAGAGTTAATAACTTTTGAAACTTCTACCAAAAGTTTGGCCACAAGTATTGCTTCAAAGAGAGGAGAAGGGAACACAAAGCATTTTTTCCGAGCCTGCAAATGACAAAGATAATTACGAGGAACACCAGGAGGGAGTTGATTATGGAAAAAGTTGTGGTGATTAATGAGCCTTTAAAATAAACAGATGACAATACTCTTTGTTATAGTGATGTTCTAGTCTGCTCAATAACAAAGGCTAAAATCCAAAATAGGTATACCATGAACCTCATCAACAGTCATCAAACCATTATGCAATACAATGTGCTTCTTTTCTAGTTTTTCAAATTGTAAATAAAAGATACATCAAGTAAATAAGCTGGTAAAACTATAAATAGACTACGTGAATTCGACTTGAGGAACATCTACAAGGTGCTTCAGGATTAAGTGTACCAACTTGAAAAGAATCTCAAAACAAGAATAACATTTCCTACGGAGGTACGTCTGTTAACGCTTTGTTTAGCAGATATTAGATGAATAAGATAAAATACTATCACGGCCTTAATTCCCTAACTGTTGATTAAGAATTAGTACTGTTTTAAATTAGCAACGAGACCACTTAATGACATTTATCAGTTCATTTAACGCTTTCGCGGATGGAGCTTGTGGAAGCATACCAAAAAGTTGTTAAAGCACCGAGAGCTGTCAGCACCACTTAGAAAAGAAGATGGATCCTGGGCCGTGTCGGATGAGGAAAAATCTGAACTCTTCGCTCACCACCTTTCTTCTGTATTTAAACCGTTTACAAACTTCACTAACACAGAACATGAGACTATAGTACTTAACACATTAGACATCCCACTTCAGCTGACACTACCACCTCCTTCTTTTACTCCATCTCAGGTTGCACTTCAAATCAAACAATTACCGAAAAGAAAAGCTCCTAGTTATGACCTAATAACAGCCAAAGCACTCCAACAAATGCCCAAGAAAGTTCTAGTATTTCTGACAACAATTTACAACTGTATACTAAGGACGTCAAAATTCCCTTTACAATGGAAATACTCACTTATTAAGATGGTTCACAAACCCGGTAAAGACATATACAGTCCTTCATCCTACAGACCCATTAGCCTCCTTCCTATATGCTCTAAATTTTTTGAAAAATTAATATACAAAAGACTTGTTGACATATTGACTGACCAACAGGTAATACCTGACCACTAATTCGGCTTTCGCACATTCCATTCGACGACACATCAATTGCACAGAGTTACAGACTACATTGCTGGAGCTTTAGAACAAAAACTATATGCAACTGGAGTATTTTTGGATGTTGCTCAGGCGTTTGATAGAGTCTGGCACCAGGGTCTTCTCTTTAAACTTAAGACTATACTTCCATACACCTACTATCTTATCCTTTAATCTTTCCTCTTCGACAGATTGTTTTCAGTCCGGCAGGGCTCGGAAGTGTCTTCAGTCCGTCCAATCTTGGCCGGAGTTCCCCAAGGTTCAATACTAGCCCCTCTACTTTACGTTATATACACTTACGATATACCTATTGACGATGAGATCTTGACAGCTACATATGCAGACGATACAACAATCCTCACTAAACATCAAGACCGCCGAACAATAAACATCACAGGCCTCACTAACTCTACAACATCATTTGCTTAAACTACAATATTGGTTCACACTATGGAAAATTCGACTTAATCATGACAAATCCAAACATATAACATTTACTCTTCGAAAAAACACCTGTCCTCCAATTTATATTGACAACAATCAAATTCCTCAAACGGACACGGTACTTTACCTTGGACTCACCTTCGACAAAAGGATGACATGGGACCCACATGTTAAAATGAAACGCATGACACTTAACAAACGACTCAAACTACTTTACTCTCTTTTTGCCAAATCTTCAAAACTAAAACTAAAACAGAAACTGAATACATATACATACTTACTTAAGCCCATATGGACATACTCATCACAAATATACGGCATCGCTAAAAAGACCCACCTACAAAAACTTCAAACGTTCCAATCAAAATTATTGCGACTCATAACAAAAGCACCTTGGTACGTGACTAACAAAACTCTACATACCGACCTCCACTTTCCAACAGTTGACCTACATATAAAGAACCTATATCAACGATTTTACACAAATTTAAATGGACATAATAACAGACTTATAAGAGACATGGCCACAACTGACATACCTCAGAACATGAGTAGGAGACTAAAAAGGCGTTGGATGAGGGATCTCCTTCCTTAGACAATCTAAGTAATTGCAACAAGTTAGGGAAGAGGTATTGCTGAGTACTTTCCTTCCCCATGCCTGTCATGTCATTATATCATTATCGCCATCACATTTGCTGATTGTCAACTTATTGTTGACAGGCGCAAATACATATTTTATAGACAAAAAAAAAATGCAAGAGACTCTTTGAAAATTATTATACTTTTGTATTTTGTGTGGTGTAGTTATTTATCCATTTTGAAAAAATTGCAATAAACCTTAGAATGTGCTATTAAAAAAAAAAAATAATATCTATTCACCACAAGAATCCATATATTGCGATAATGTATAGCAAATTGATAATGTAGATATACGCAGCTCTGAACACTTAGGAATACTATCTCCCTCTTGATTAGCTTAGGTATGCGTATGAAAACGTCAATGTTTTCAATATAAATTGCCCTTTATTGGTTATTGGTATAACTGAGATCACAAATGGCTAAACTGAATTATAGCAATGATTGATAGTCCTATATCAGCTAAACGGGTATTATCCGATATTTGCCAGTATACAGCGCATCCATATATCGAACTCCGGTCTGCCCCAAAGGAATCCCCGATTGAATTGACCGTGTAGCAATGTAGGAATTTTAATATTCCATACTGATTAGTCATTTTCTCTATTTCGTTGTTTACATTCCGTTTTTGAACGACTTTAATTAATTCATTATTAGAACCAATAAAATATCAAAACATTAATAAGACCCTGATTAAGTTAAATAATGTTTTGTAAATTTAGTTTGATCATTGAGAAATTCCTGCTGAAATTTGAAATTTATAAAACAGATAATTCAGGTATATTTAGAATTTTTTTTTATTATTTATTTATTTATAAATACAATAATCTGTCACGTGGACAATAGTTATAGTGATATATGAACACATTCACATCATATATACAGAAAATATAAAATTAACAAAAGAAAAATAAAACTATGTACAATCTATATAAATAAAATAAAGATTTTGTCTGTACATTGAATAGAATCAGCCCGTTTTAAGACATCCTTCCGTTTTTTACATTGCAGACACTAAATCCACTTTTAAAAAATTTCCGCCTTGCAAAGTCTGCATTTACGCATTGCAACGAAATTTTGTCAGGAGTAAGCTCAGCAATGACTTTTGACATTACATTAAGGTTTACTTGACTTAAAACATAGGCTTTAAATGAATACAAAATATTGAATGTAACTAGAGTTATGAATTCTTGAGTAATTTGTCTAGAGATCCCGGTTAGGTAGTTACTTCGATTCTCATCCCAACTTACTCTACCGCAAGCCATATTTAACAGTTGTACCATTCAACTGATGGAAAAAATGATCACAACTCAGCGGGAAAAATCCGATATACCAAACATCTGTAACGCGTTGTACCTTAAAACACACTCATTTTTCAATTTTGTCCGATATTCCTGTTCAAAGTGTTAATTCAACTTCCCGAGCTTAACAAATGTTGTCGTATACTTTTTAGGATTAACCGGTTCTTCTGAAAATGAAAATTACCTCTCCCTCCTCACCCAATGTTATCAAATTAATCCTTCCCCCATAGTACAATACCCATCTCAAAAAAAGATTCTCAAATTTTAATTATACACCCGTCAACGATGGGTGCATCAGCTAGTAAAAAATAGCCTAAAGATAAGTAAAAGAATAAATTAAGTAGTTTATTTTAACATTTAAATATTTTAGTTTACAAGAGAGATGGCTCAGTGATTAGGCACTGTACTGTTACTTTCCGAGACTGGATTCGAGTCTAGCATGGTATTAATTAAATAAAATAATCTACTCCGTTATGTATACCGCGGATAAACTGTAGGGTCGGTAGTCTTTTTGGGTTCGCCTAGCCACTACAAATTTGAAATGAAAAATAAATGTATTATCCTGGGACTGATTTCTCATAAGAACAAATTGTAAATACGAAATAAATAAATCGTGACATAAATATAGCTATCATAATATCCTTCTAAATTATTAATTTTTAATGTTCGACAATAAATTATTTCTCCAAAGAGTTTAACGTGTATTTTTTTTTAGTTTATTCTTGCTTTTATTACCTCTTAAATTCATAAATTAATTTCAGCACTTTTATTATTCTCTTTTTCACAACACTTGCTAATTTGAAAACTTTCTAGTAGGATTTTACCGATGGTCAATAAACGGTACCGTCACTTAAAACGTCTTCTTGAAGAGCTTTTATGTTTTTATTCAGGTTTCTTAAAGCTTTTCTTTTAATGGGCCTTTCTCCTTAAATGGTTTCTTTATCCTAGTCCTTAGAAGGTGATCTTCACCCCCATTCCTCCAAACTCCCCCTCCAGCAAGAGGCTTTACCACCTCTGGAGTAATCCGTTCCACCCAGCTCCTTATTGATGGCGAATAGCCCTTCCATTACCACTATTGGCGCTGACATTTTTCTAAAGAAAATGCCCATCCAATGGGACGTTACCGAGCATCTTTTTGTACCTTTCGAGAAAATAGATTGGATATAATATATATATATATACATAAAATATAAACATATAAATAACTTCAACAGAGATTGTTGATTTTGTAAAGAGTCAATTAGAATTCTGATTAAAAAATTAGTGAATTAGTATTCGTTTATATCAATACGGGCTTCTCTACCACTTACGGGTCATTTTAACCGTTAAACAATATTTATATTTCACAATATGAAAATTAAAAATACATTTAAATGTACAGATAATTAAAATTGACAAACAGTAAAATACATAAATAAAGTTTTGTAGGTTGAGTATTTTTTTTTTAAGTAATAATAACAAGTTCGATCCTTCATGTTGTGTTTCAAAATTGTCTACCGCCATTATCAAACCCAACTTCATTCCGATGAGCTTCATATCCATAACAGCCTATTACCTTAAGCGCCACCTTTAAATGTGTTCCACAGAGGGTAATTACCTCGCGCCGAGGGGGTGACCCGTTTGTCATGTGATACTCATGCGTTACTCTTTAGTTTCCGATTCGAAGTCGTGTTGATATGACCTCATCATTTGTTTTCAACTGAATCTCGCTAGGTGATACAGAGGGTTCAACTATCCCTAGTATATTATCTCTTCAATCATGCTGAAGGTGCTGCCATTTCTCATAAGCCTTTTTTTATTTTACCAAATTAATTGTTTCTTTTGTCAAAACTTATTTTACTTTAACTTCCTCTTCACTATCTTTTTAATTTTTTTTTATTATTATTATAATTTCGGCCAGTTCATTCCCTCTAATACCAGAATGGTCCGGCAACCACAGAAATTGTAAATATCTTTTACGTTTCTCAGAAATAGAGGACATATAGGCAGCATCGTTTTTTTTTCTTCCCTTTTAGGCAATACAGGATTTTTCCAGCCAGAAGGTGAGAATAAATGCCAGAGTTAAAACCCCCTCTCGTCACCCTCCCCTCTCCCCCCAAAGCCGGAACGCGAACTCGTAATTATTTTATGTTCTATAACTTCGGTTATCAGGTATTATGTGCAAACGTGTTAATCACCTCGGCCAGCCCGCTACTCACATTCGCAACACCTAACTCTTCATAAGTTTTTGATCCTTGTGTATCAACATATTCCCAATCGGAATGTTTCTATTAGAAGTCCGTAAACTCCACTAATCCCAACTTCTCCTCAAGAGCCTTGTTGCATTTGACTTTGTGTACTTTGGGAATTGGTAGCAGCAAGTGTACTTCCAAAACTGAGGGAAAGGTTTTTGATCAATGTTTGTGATGAGTATTGAGCATCTTTCTAGTAAAAATAACTTAGTATTGAATTAATAGCATCGCTATATTTATTCTAGGAATGTAAAGATGAAACAATTTATTAAACCCTAGTTTAACTGTTTTACAATTCTTTCTACGTTCAATGTGATCTAATTAAAATCCGCCTAGATAACATTACCAGAAGAACTGCTTGTAGTAACCAAATAAAATAAATTAATAAAATAACTTCACTTTAGATGAAGCAGTCAACACTAAATAACTTGAGGAGTATATATCTGTAGCGATTTAGTGTAAAACAGGCAACTGAGAACAACGTTCAATTGATATACGTGTTCCTATTAAGTTGTATATAAACTTTCTTGGTTGGAGCAAGTTACATCGAAAACTAAAAATTAAATTATACTTAAAGATTCATGATAGAGCGGTGTAGCTAGTTCAGAGAGTAAGGCGTTGTATTTCTACCTCTAATAATCTTAGAGAATAAAACTTTGTACATATATTTTAATTTTTCAATTGCTATAAAATTTCATATTAAAGGATTCTAGAAGTACGGAAAACGAATTAATCTTTTTTCTGTATAAAAAAAAAATGTTTAGCATAGATACATTTACGTTTCAAAACAATACAATAATTGACAGATTGCTACAGTATTGGAACAAATTGGGCGATGAAGGAGTAAATATGTTTTACACAAACTCAAAGTTGATATTTCTTTTTATATATTTCTTTTCTATTATGCAGAAAAAAATAAATTAGTAAATAATAACCTAGAAATTCAAATGATGCAAAGGCATTAATAACGTAAATTTCGTTTGAAATTAATATACGTAGTTTCTTGGATCCTAAGGCCCATTGGACTGCATTTCTGCTGGGATATGTGTCTAATATTTGTCATATTGTACATAGGTGTGAGTATGTTTTATTTATTTTATTATCATTCAGCTTCAATCTATCATTTTATTTATTTTGTATATATGTATATTAATTCTCTTTATATGATTTACTTTGTTTCCTTTTATATTTATTTTCGTATATACATATTGTGTGAATGAATACTATAGCCCTAGTACTAATGTCCTTCAATGTGGCAAACTGTATTAATACTCAATAAAATCAATAAATAAAAAAAATTTTGTCGAAGTAGTATCGCCGAAAAAAATCTTCATGAAATCGGCATCCCATTGATTGTGACCGCCTCTTGTAACTGTGAACCCAAGTTATTACATGCGTTGTACTAATAGAAGTGCCTAATGTACTGTAAACATATAAATCTTTTATTTTTACAAGAAATCTGATTATGCTTGCTTTATTTTGAAATAATGTAATTTCTACCATACACTCAATATCGTCTTATATTAACAAAAAATGAATCATAAAAATATGCAATCATTTTTAATTCTTTATCTTGAGTGTTTCACTGAATTTTTATCTTTCACTATCAACGTTAAATGTTAAAAACGTTTAAATAAAAGCCACGTAGAGGATACTGTACTACATATTCTCTCAAATAAAAATTCTAACTTAGATAAAATTCACATGGCGTGTTCACATATTCCGTCCTTCAATTATGCTAATCTATTTCTCTAGTGAAGATGGAGGCCCATTTTTTGAACATCCTATTTAATAATTAATTCACAGAAAAGTTTATTCTAATTATTAATTTTTGATAAAGTAAATTCAAGTAAAACCTCGAGGGCCACATCACGCAGTGGGACGAGTAAGGAAAAACTCTCAACATAGGCTAAAAGTATTATTAATAAATTTTTTTAGAATTCCAAAATCTAGATAAACTATTTTACCAATACATTTCGGAATTCATGAGAACATTTTAAGTTCACAGAACATTTGTCAGTGTGTTCCTATTTGGTTAACAAAAATAGATTTTTTTTTAAATAAAATTTTTATAAAGCCTGCGATTCAAACAAAGCTCCGATATACTCCGAAAAATTGATTTTTTTCTACTTTTTAGTAATCATTGTTTAAGAGAAATTCGTATTACTTTTAACCGCCATGGTCCGCCGAAAGGTAGTTTAAAATTATTTTTGTATTAATGTCCGAACAATTTCTAGGTATGTAATGTAAATATCTCTTATATTGAATCGTAATAGCAAATTAAATGATTCTACATCAACACTGGTTAGCACGAGCGGATTTACGGGGAGGGGGGTGGGCTTTCGGGCTGATGCCCCTCCCCCAAAATGGTAAAATATAACCATGTTTTATGGAAAAATATATCAAAGAATTATCTCTTAAAGTATTATTGTTCGTGCAATTACATTTAAAAGGACTTAAGGAATCAATTAAACACCATTTCTTATAGATTGTTAGTTTCTTTCTTTTTTTCCAAAGTAACTATCGTCATTTTTATGAAAAAAAAAAAGCATTCGGGCTGAGGCCCCACTCAAAATTAAATCCTGGATCCGCTAGTGCTGGTTAGTGTACGTTTGGTTGGACTGTAAGAACTACCATCCCACTCCCTTATTTCAGAAATATCCAGGAAGGAGGTGATGAGAAAAAGAAGAAAGAAAAGTTATCTTAAAAAAATATATTACAATAACTTTACTACATTCATTATTTAATCCATGAATGACTTGGATAAAATTCGGATATAAAGGAAACTACACTGCTCATTAATAATAGGATTATTTAAGAAGTTCAAACAATACAGTATTCCTCCCTTCCCTCCCTATATATATATATAGGGATATATGGATGATATATATATATATATATGTATATACATATGAATATATAGATAATAAATAGAATAAGAATAGGAGTGAACGACTAACAAATGGGGTTCTCAGGAAAAGTTATTCTCCACTATAATACCTAAATATTATGAACAATCTTTATGCATTAGCTTTCATCATGATTACTCCTAAGCAGAGATGGGAAAATGCTACTTGGAGTACCGAGAACCAACTACTTTACTCTAATTGAATCACTATTGGAAATTCAATTTTTACTTTTGTTTGTGCAAAGCTGCTGTGCCCACATTTTTTTTTTTTTTTTTTTTTTTTTTTTTTTTTTTTTTTTTTTTTTTTTTTTTTTTTTTTTTTTTGTTCTCCCTACCTCGCCTTTTAGGCTATACGGGATTTTCCCGGACCGAGGGGTGAGGGCGGGGAATTTAAAATCCCCTCCGGCACCGGGACGCGAACTCGAACTTTTTATATCATCTCAAATCTCTGTTATCCGGTTGCCAGGCAACTAGCGGTGCTGTGCACACGCTTTAGCCTATTCGGCCACCCCGCCCCCCAACTGCTGCTGTGCCCACATGTCAAGACGAGTGGTGGGGGTAGATCAGATAAGATCTGAAAGATAAAATTTAATCCTCACCAGTACCACTGGCCCACTACATCCCAGATATCCACGGAGGCAAGAACGAGCATATTTGAGGTAGTATTATGTCAGCTTACCTCAGGCAGTATTATGTCTATGCCATCATAAAAGGGTCAGCCGATTTGCACAATTCATATAACCTACAACTTCATCAAAATAAAATCCACTGCATAAATAAGTAGAATGTTGCCTATGCTGAACTCATTCAGGGTTATTTGCCTCTATTAAACTGAAGTAGTAATTAAATTCTTTAGTACTCATAAAAAGGTCAGTATTTGAATA